TCCACAGTTGATGCCATCCAGGCAGTTGTGAACATAGCCAAAGCAGGAAAAAACAAATTGGGACCTGGAAAAAAGAAGAGCTTCTGCGCGTTGGTAGCAATTGACATACGCAACGCGTTTAATTCCGCAAGATGGAAAGATCTCATCGAGTCGATGAAAAAGAAAAGCATGCCGCCCTACTTGTTGCGGATAATGGATAATTATCTTAGAGACAGGTGGGTTATATATGAAGGAGACACCTGCACTCACAGGGAAGAGATGCAGCGTGGGGCTCCTCAAGGCTCGAGGCTGGGTCCATTTGTATGGAATATATCTTATGATGATTTTCTGCGAATGGATCTGCCCGAAGGTGCGGTGATCGTCGGCTTTGCGGACGACGCGTTGTTCGTGTGCACTGCCGAAAGTGAGGAGGCTTTTGGGACATTGGTGAACGAATGTCTGCGACTAGCAAAAAGCTGGCTGGATACCAGAGGTCTTGAAATGGCCCTGGAAAAGACCGAGGCACTGCTGGTCACAGACAGACGTGGTTATGAGCTCCTACGAATCGTGATAGACGGATTCGAGGTCAAGTGGAGTAAGCAAATTAAATATCTTGGTGCGGAGTTAGATGGAAGATTAAACTTCCACTACCACATGGCTACGGCGTCAAATAAGGCGATCGAATGTGCGGCTAATCTTTCACGGTTAATGCCAAATGTAGGCGGACCCCGTAAGCAAAAAAGAAGACTGGTGGCGAGTGTCGCCTATGCTAAAATGCTCTATGCAGCACCAGCTTGGGCCCCATCCCTGAGGAGTAAAAGATGTGTTACCATCTGTGAAAAGATACTGTCGGCGCAGAGATCGATAACAACGCGTATCATCTCTGCATATAAGACGGTATCTACGAGTGCTGTGCAGGTCCTTGCAAGTGTCCCGCCAGCAGATCTTTTGGCGAGAGAAAGGGAAGAAATGTTTCTCTTTTCTAAAGAAAGCAGTTCCTTGGATGAGGAATTAAGACCAAGCAAGGGCCTGATCCGCAAAGAAGCGAGGCACAGACTCATAGAAAGATGGCAAGAAAGATGGGATGGTGAGGAAAAAGGTCGATGGACTTATCGCCTTATCCCGGCACTCGCCACCTGGATAAATAGGAAACACTGTCAGGTTTCCTATTATTTGACTCAGGCGCTCACAGGTCACAGGTGTTTTAACTCGTACCTGTGTCGCTTTAAATTACGCGAGGACGAGGTGTGTGCATATTGCCAGTTCCCTGAGGACAACGCGGAGCACACCCTCTTCTCATGCAGAAAATGGGACTTGGAGAGGCGGGCCATGTTCGAAGGTGTAAACAGTCAAGTTACACCGGAGAACATGGTATCGCTGATGACCCAGTCAGAAGAGAATTGGCGGCAAGTCGAGAACTTCATAATCTCGGTTATGTCGAGGAAGGATCTCGACGGCCGCCAAAAAAGCGTAATTTAAACAGCTTTCAAATTTGTTTGTTCGTTTCTTATTAATTTATTTTGTGATTTATTTGTCCTTCTACATTTTTTAATTTGTTTTGTTTTGTTTTTATTTATTTTTGTACAGTTTTGTCTTTTCAACGTTATATACCTGTTTACTTTTTTTTTATTTTCTTTTCTTTTTTATATCCGTTTGCGATTTTATCTTTTGACTTTTAACACTTCTTAAATAATTTTGTTTTTTTTTTATTATTGTTGTGCTGTAGATTCCGCTTAGACTATGAAATAGTTTTAATCATCTTTTTAACTAGGAACGCAGGAAAATCGCAGTGAGAAGAAGAAAGTCGCATTAGCGACAGAGTTGGAGCGCCACCCTCGAAGGCTAAAGTCTTACGACAGTTCCGAGGGAGGGTAAAGGGCTCCAGAAGAAGGGTTACGGGTTTTAGTGGGTCTGGCTGGTAGTAGGTCGCCAGTTTATTAAATTTATTATAACATTTATTTATTTATCTTTTTTTTTAATATTTTCTTTTGTTTCATTTGACCAACCCCACATAACCTTGGAGTGCGGAATCCGAGGTATCTGTAGGCAGATTTCGCAAAAGTCCCTAAGCAAAAAAAAACAAAAAAAAAATAATAATAATAATAATAATAATAATAGCCTTTTTGTTCAGTGTTATAATTTTTTATACATCATTTTAGTGAAATATGCGACTAAAAATATTCTTACAAAAGTGAATAGGATTAATTTTCTTGACTTTGGATTTAGAGAGATAGTTTTATTTCAATTTCGTCTCCATTGTCTAATATTGACAAATAATTTAATTGGTGAAATGGTTTTGTAACGGATTTCAATAAATTAATGCCGTTAAAAATTTGATTCTGAATATTGTGTGTGACATTTTTATGACTTTGGTATATTAGATGATTAACGTTCTGATATGGGGTGAATTGAAAGGTTGGGATATATATTGGGAATCATAAATATTTTTTACGATCCCATAAAAATTTATTTTTCTTCTCTACTACCAAACTATTGGAGTTTAATTTAATTGTTTCATTATAAATAAAGATAAACGGTCCTGTATCATGTGGATGGCAGGTGCACGAAGACGGTAACTATATTATAGTATTCTAGTGATTATTATATATTTCTTCCGTTCTATATACGTCATAATCATACTAAATAAGGGAATTCGTAAAATTATTGGAGAAGCTACGTTGAAAATATATTAGGTTAATTTTATGAATGGACCAGAAAAAAGAACACCTGATGCTGTAGCACTTGGAGCATCACGTAATAATAAACAAACCAAATTGTTTAATGAATAAACACGCAGTTAAAGTTTGGATGTTTGCTTCGACCTTTTCTGGTATTATTATACTTTGGCGGCGAAAAAAAAGTGCAGATACTTGTAATATTTGAGATGATCTTCAATATATCTGTAAAGGTTCTCAATTTCCATAAGCAAACACATGTGGGGTATAAGAGTAGGCACGAGTAAATTTGAAATATTTTATTGGCTCCGAGTATATACTTTACAGGTGTAAAGTGTAGACAGAGTAAAAAAAATGATGATGATGAAAAATACTTTAGTCATAGGAAGAAAGTTAAAATGTGAATTTACTACTGTGCGCGGATATACAAGAAAGTGATATTTAAAAAGTTTAAAGGATGAGAAGTTATAAAATTTGATACTTAGGAGAGATATTATCCGCTTTTTGGTTTGTACATGCGGCATACAGAAGAAAAAGAATATTTATTGTTGAAACTGGTGCTTTTAAGAGGGGAAATAAAATAAAGAGGAAGTAAACAAGGTTGTAGTGTATAATAATTGTCGTTGGCGGTTATTGATCCCAAAGCGAGAATCAACATAATGATGACCCTAAAAAACGGTAAAGCAATTATTGAGGAATTCTGTTCGATATACATATTGAAAAGAATCTATTTTGCTTTTAATGATTCGAGAATTAAAAATTCTTTGCTTTTTTGTTATAAAAAAAATACATAATACATAATTAATACATAATACATAATACATAATTTTTTGTTATGACAAAAAGCAAAAAGTTACATTCTTTTTCTTGAAATGAAAAACAAAATTCATCAAATATGGTTGTGATTAATTTTTGGGAGCTTGAAAAATCCATTATGCTCGATTATTCCGTCGCGATGAAAGCGAATGTCTTTTTAAATTGACAATAAAAATATGTGTGAGATTACGCTGAATTGCTGTTTGACGTAGGTGTCAAAAATTTATCTTGTTTTATGAGTTCGGAACTTGATTGTGCGAGAGAGAAGAGAGTAAGAGGAAAAAAGAGTAAAACGCGAGAGAGAAGAGAGATAAGAGCTACAAGGATGAGCGAGAGACAAGAACCAAGAGAGTGGAAGTCGTGTTATAAATGTCGGCTGTCTAAAGTGGTTGGGGTGTCATCGAGATACATCATGTTTGGTAGATGAGTTCGTATGTTCTACATACATATTCTCTCTCTCTCTCTCTCGTCTCTATATCGCACGTTTTGCATCTCGCCATCGCCTTATATTGTCAAGGAATAATACTTGAATGACGTTATATTGCCCTCGGCCAATGAATTCCCTTATTTTCTTCCTATCCATCGTGAAAGTCAATTCTTCGCAGTGGAGGAGCCAAAGTATCGCCATCGGATACGCAGTCAACATAAACGCGCAGATGATTATTCACTTTATCCTAGAAGAGAGCTCTCGAGAGCTTAGTCATTCCTTGTCTTCTTCTTCTTCTTCTTCTTCTTTTTCCTCCTCTCTGTATATATGCGTGCATGTTTATGTGAAAACTTATTTCTTGAATTAATGTTTGCGTGTACTGCAACACTGTTGCAAACTCAAATTCACGTCGTAAACTTGATAAGAAATTGATCAGATTTATAGCTTCCTCGTAAATAAGATATCGATAATCGAAAGTTGTAAATTAAGAATTCTTTTACTTTTTGCTTTCTTACATTTTTTATTTGAATAACAGTTTTTCTAAGGATGGCAAATTAAGTCAAAAAACGAATTAAAATTGTTGCAGATGCAACAATTTTGATCCGTTTTTTGCCTCACTCTCTAAATTTGAATCAGTTAAAATTTAAAAATAACTGATTCACACTGCAAGAAAAATATTGAAGGTACAGGCATTATACTTACATTATAGAATAATACTATATTTTTCTTGTAATCTTGGTGTGAGATTATGTACATGAATTTCATCTCAATAGGTTTATATAAGTAGTATTTAAAAAAAAGGGGGGGGGGGTATTGTTATTTAATCGATTTCTTTCTTTCCTAATTTGTATTTATTTCTTTTAATCAATCATATTTCTTCCCCATATATTTTTTTCTAAAAAAGGAGTTTAATTTTGGTGTACGGAACCCTAGATTTTAGTGTGAGTGTAACTCGCATTTGTTTTTTCAGTTTGAAAGCTACTTTTTGCTGCTTTGTTAAAATTAATTATCGAGTCCGAAGTCTCAGCGTGTGAAATTAAATGGACAGAAATTATTTGAATGTAACTTGATAATGGGGAAATTATCAAGAAGAAGTAACTCACCTAGTGTACCGTCTAGAGAAAATGAATGCCTGTCGTTTCTTAATGCCCAGGAACAAAGGTCACAGGTGGTTAGTCCGTCGGTTGCGATTCCCTCTTCCGGTAGATAAGGCGGTCTGGGTGGAGGTGGAACGAAACTTCCTATCACAGCCCATAAGGAATCTACGTCATTACTACTCCCTGTATAATACAACAACTCCTCCTCTGCAACACCGGCGAACCAGTCCATGTCGTTTACACTCGGATTTACACTATTTGTACTTGTTGCACTTGCACCGCTCACTGTCACCTGTAACACAAATTTAGATATTGTTAGTCATTTATCTTCTCGTTTCATGATATTCGTTAATTGATATTTTTTGCTAACATTTGGATTCAGAGGCAATTTAACCAACACAGTTTTTTTGCAGATATCAATTTGAGACAAATAAACGAATCGAAAGTGTGAAAAGGATGAAGAAAGCATTGAATATTTATTAAACAAAAAACGGTTTAAGAAGTAAAATATAGTATATTAAGCAACAAGGGAGTAAAAGTCATTCAACTATCTAAAAGTGTCATTTTGTCCATGTGGGATAATAACGATTTTTCTGATCTTGTCCGTAAGAATGGAAAAGCCACAAAGTTCTCGAATTGTTTTACCGGAATTAACATTTATTTCATTTAAATGTTTTTTTTGTTAAACTAGAATTGTTTGAAAATATCATTAGAGTCGTGAATTCTTTCCCAATTAACACCTGGGTTATAAAATGTCAATTAGGCTTTGACTGTGCGCGGTTAAAAGAACCCTTCGGTCCTAATATAATATTTTGAGATATAAACCGTTTGAAACCTAAACAAATATACTCGAGAGGTTATATACGTTTAGTGCTGGAGAGAAGAGTCAGGATGAGTCAAAGTTGCTGTAGTCGAAAGTTTTTTTTTTAAACTTCTCAGTTTTCGGGAAATATTAACAGAGTAATGTGTGATTCTGTCATTGTTTGATTTCTGTTTTTCGTCTCTTTTATTATTGGATACTCGAAAATACCACCCAAGTTTTGAGTGCTTCTAAAAGATTTTGATGCTTGTTTTTCTAGCTCGTAGGTTAAACATATGCTGGAGAGTTTTTATTTTTGCGACACTGCAAACAAAGGAGTTGTTCTACTTTTTCTCTTTTCCTGGGAGAAATGAGTTGTTCCTTTCTGGGACAACTCGGAATTCCTACGGAAATTATGAATATTTTCCTAGAAAATTCGGAGGTTCTACGTAAAAATTCTTTTCTTCTTTCTGTGAGAAAAGAGTTGTTCCTCTCTGGGACAACTTCCGATTTTTAAGGAAATAATGAAACGCTTCGTAGAAAATTCGTAACTTCTACGATAATAATTAATATTTTAGTAGAAATTCCAATGATTCTCTGCTATACTAGTGATTTTTTTTGTTTTTCCTCCTAAATGGAGTGACCCCGATTTTTTAATCATTGATAAACAGTGACATGGGATTTCAATTCTCGTTCTATTTTACAAATGTGAATCACTCAGTGAGGGGGGCTTTTCTTTTGAATACTGAGAGGTGCTGACTAGATGATTAGTTTTCTCTTTAGATATATCAAAATTTGTAATGATGTGGCAGTTTTTTTTCTTTTTTGAAGGGAAAAATTGCCTCTCATCAAATTATTGTTGCTCGTCATGATTTGAAAACATGACTTTTTAATGGGCAGGGAATTCCAATTTTACTGAAGTTGGTTGTATTCATAACAATGTTTCAGCAAATTTTTTCTAATATAGCCACTTGATCTCTAAATCAAGTATACATATAGACATCAAGAGAATTTCCTGACCTGATCATCCGAAGGGTGAAGAAAAAAACATCTTTTTATAATACTAGATTTTTTACGTATAATGAAATTTCTTTTGGAATGAACAGAAATCTTTTTTTGAATTGAAAAAGAAATCGTTTTGAGCTAAAAGTGAGGCCAAGAGCGAGGCCAAGAGTTAGAGTAGAGGCGTTTTATTTATAAGGAGTTGGCACGAATTGAGGCGATGATTTAAGGTAGCTCCGGTAACTTATCGTTTATAATTCAACGTTTATACGTCCAGGAAATTCTTAGAAGTGGAAAAAAGCGCACACTCAAAGGAAGATCGTTCGTCATGTTTAACGTAAGACAGGAAAATCACTGATGCTGCAGTGTTTGTATATCGAAAGTATTATCTCGAAGTGCGTTTGAGGGAAAATGAAAGAGGGAGAGAGAAGAATATAAAGAAAAAGAATAAAATAGAGAAAGAGGATAAGAGAGAGACAGAGTAAAATGTAGAGAGATTGTCTAGGTGCACCCTGTTTAAACCCAAAGTGGTCCAGACAAGATGTTATATTACCCGAAGACTTGAACGGACGACCTGCTTAAAGATTCGTTACCATCTACTTAAGACAGTTATCGGCGTGAAACGCATTATTTATAACACCACCTTGTCCGTTCTGCCATTAGAGACTATAAAGTATATCAAATACACCTGTGCTGTCACGTGTGAAGAAGTATTGGGTCATACCATCAGTTGTGGATATTCGATTGCCCTGAAGCAACAGTAATGCATTTAATGATTCAAGGAGAGGGAATTTACTCCCCGACACCGATATATTCCCAAGATATTAGTCATTTTTTCATTCCTTGTATAAAATCAGGTTTTGTACACAAGTATAAGAGTAGAGTTAGTATGAGCTACGAGAAGCGTTGCCCCACCTTGCAGCCGTTTCCCCCTCCACTTTCGCTCTGCCGAACTCGAAGTGGGGGATCGCTTCTCTCAATGTGATTCCCTTTTCCTTTTTCGGAGTTTTAATAATTAAATAAAAAAATTAAAAATTGTTAATATTACAATTAAATATTAATACTTCATACTAAATTAAATAACAATGATCAATATTGAAAGGAAATATTACTTTTAAAATTAAACAATAATGTTCAAAATTAAATTATGATATGAATATTAGTTTAATTTTGAAATTTCATTGAAATTGGAATTGAATATTAATATTTAGTATTAAAAGTAAATAATATTTTTTACTATAGACTTTTTCGTTTTTTATTTATATATATATATTTTTTTTTGTTTGGTAAATCGAAGTTGAATTAAAGCAAGAGAGTGTACGAGAAATTTGTCGATATATTTCTGTTTAAAAGGAATGCCGATTGTCTCATGGAATGTTTCTTCGATCTCTCCCTGAAAGTCAATTTGTAGCGAGCACTATAATTTAGCGAGGAAATCGAGAGAACCTGGACGCGAGGTCTGGTTGAAACAACTTCGTAATTTGAAGCAGAAGTACTTTTCTCCCCCCCTCCCTCCCCTCCTCTTTGTGCGAATACCAAAATAAAAAGTTTTTACGGGTATTTTATTGAAATTTCCGGACATCCGTTTGGAATTTCCGTATTTTTTTTGGTGTGAAAGAGAAAAAATAAGTTTTCTGAAATGTTAAGAAAAAAAGTAACTTTCCACAAAAGAAGTGATATTTTATTTTTTTAAAAATTATTTTATTGTTTAATTGTTTTATTTAATTATTTTGTTTAATTAATTTATTTAAGTATATCGTTTATTATTTTATAAAATTATAATTATTATGTAGATTGCATTTCTATGGAATTTATATTTTATTAATAAATTTTTTTCATTATTAGAAAGAAAAAAGAATGTGTTTAACTTGGTTTTTATGGTTTAAATTATATTTGATTTGAACCAAATATAATTTATTTGAACAAAAAAAATTTATTCGAACTAAATTTATATTTCATTTGAACCAAATATATTTTATTTGAAACAAATACAATAAGTTTTCCAATATAAATAGTAGAAAAAAAATACAAAGTAAGAAAATAAAAATTAATTAATTAACCGAAGCAATAGTTCGTAAAGAGAACAAATAAATTTTCTAAAATGAAGAAAAAAAGAAAAATAAGTTTTCACGAAAAAAAAGAATTAAAAATTGCGTGAGGCCGCATAAAGATGGGTTGATACTTGTCGAATGGACCGCGTGACGATGACTATAATGAAACGCATTGATCGCTTTAATTACCGTGATATCAGCGCAATTAAAGACCCGTTGTATTCAAGATTTTCTTTGACGTGAACGCGTGACACGAATTCTTGACTGGATCACCATCATCTTCCTTAGGGAGGTGGAGGAGGAGGGACATTGCCTGTCATTCCCTTTCAGGGTTACTGTAATGCAATCCATGCCGCACTTGCATACACTTCCTTGATATATACATATATTGTGTCCCGATTATTTTTTCTCACCTATTATGAAGGTAATGAAAAATTTTCAGTTACAATGGGTGTGTATATGCGATGATAAAGAGGGGCAATGTCCGACAAGAATGGAAAATATCTTTATTCTTCGTCCTTTTTTTACTTCATCATCCGACGTCTTCAGTTTTATTGAACTTTTCCTGACAAATAAAAATTGATGGAATTTATTAATAAATTCGTATTTGAACGAGATGAATGAATATTTAAATTTAATTAATTTTTTTCCAGAGTCATCGTTGGGGATTTTCTTTTTTTTTGAAAGAGGAGCTTTTTGTTTTGGAAGATACATTGTGTTTTGGTTCTATTATTTCGGTAATTAATTAGATTGTTTGTGGTAATTAGTATATTTTCTTAATTGATTGTTTCTACTGGAAATTTGTTAATTGGATTTTTATCAATTGAAAATTATCTATAATTGGATTTTTATTGACTGGAATTGAATTTTTATTGACTAAAAATTTATTAATTAAATTATTATTATAATTGAAACGTCATTTGTTGAATTTTTATTGACAGGAAATTTATTAATTGTAAATTTATTTATTTGGCCTGGAAATAATAATTGCAGTGATTTTTGATATTGATAATTGAAGTTGGCTCTGAGTGACTAGCAAATTTGTCATTTAACCAAATTTTGTTTAGTGTCAAAAATTATTTGGACTTTAAATGGAATTCAAGAAAATTATATCAAGTGAAACAGTTATGAAAATTAAATTTCGTTCTAAATAAAGAACAGCTTTATGAAGTTGACCGTATATTCAAAAAATTAAAAACATTATTTACTTGAATAATTTGTTAAAACATGACAAGTAAGAAATTAATTGGATGAATAAAGAAATTAAATGGGGCTAATTAAACAATTAAATAGGACTAATTAAGAATTAAGGAATATATTAAAATATAGCAAATTAAAAGTCAGTTAAAATATAACAAAATAACAAAAATAAGAAATTTTAGAGAAAATTGAGGTAAATTATATTATGTAATTTAAAAATTTTGTTAAATGTAATTTTTT